CGAATCACTGCTCATTTGAGCTACTGATGCCGGAATCGATCTTTTTCTGGATCTAAACCTTTAGAAATGCAAACTTTAGAGAGTTACGTAAAGGACGTTATCCTAAAATTGTGTTGCATCCTCTTTGTGCGAGTCTTTTGGCACTACACTACTCCAAAATAAAATTCATGTTGCTCATAGTTGGTTATCCTTCTGTGAACACGATCATAGGGAGATAAGTGGATGAATATTTATAAAGTTGCCAAATGTATATGGACATAAAATGCATATGAGGTACTTTCAAGTGATTTTAAGATATATTTAACGATGAAATCTAATCACCTTTTATTGGTAAAATTTCAACCCACATACATATCATTAAAATACAAGTTATAATATGTATTATGGTGTTTTAATTCTATGTTAAAATTGAAAATTAAAAGGTATTAATTTGAAAAGTTGAAACTTTTATACTTAAATTACAGCAGTTAGTAGTTTGTGAGGAGCGGACTTCTGAAGTTTTCAATCTCTAGCTCCTCCATTACTAAAATGTCGACCAAAATTGGAAGAAAAGTTGAAAAAAGAATTATTTGCACAAATCAGCTCATTTAGCTCCGATTTGGTCCTCATTATTTGAAACTTTAATGGTAGGAATAGTAACTTTTTCAAAATAATGTACAATTCAAAAGAAGAAGAAAATTTGGAATTATATAATATTATTTTATTAAAAATGTGCAATTAATAAGAATAGATAAAAATGAATTATAATTTTAATTGGAGCCAAACATGGAGGGCTTAGAAAAGAAAGAGAGCAAATTCAAGATTCTGATAAATCCACAAAAAATAAAATAAAAAAATCAAATCAAATTTTCAATTACAAATTTTACACGCTTTTATCAAAATTACTAAAAGTTTGAATTTAATCTAAGATCAAATGGGGGGTAAATAAAAGTAACCATTTTTACAAAACTTCTAGAGAACTGATAATTTTCAACTCAGGGCCAACCAGCTATCCTAAATGACAGCCTCCACACATAATCAAACACGAGATTTTTCAGATAAGTTATTATATATACACATGACATGCCCTTCACTTATATTTTCAAAAATCTTGTACTTTAAATCCTCGATCCACACAGTAAACTGCCTTTTTATATACATTAATCTTGAGTTGAGTACTGATTAAACCTTGTTTAAGAACTTTAAAAATGGCTTTGACTCAACAAAAGAAGTGAATTAATTTACGGCGACACACCGTACCCTAGCCTTCATCGCAAAACGAGGTTAATTAACCCACTGTTAGTTTAGAAATTAATTATAATCTACATATACTCATATTTGCTTTTATGTATAGATTATACGACACACGTAAAAAGTTTAAACATCAATATAAAGAGATCACATTATATACTTAAATTTAATATTTAATATGCCGTATCACATTTATATCATATTCGTATTTTCATTAAAATTTCATCACTTCATGTATAGATAAAAAGTGACTTAAATATTTTTAAACATAAGTTTTATTACACCTAACAACATCACAATCATAGGAAAAGTAAAGGTACCTAAATTTACCATAATAATAATTGATGTTTTTTTTTTAACGATATAATTATTTGAACAGTCATAAAATCGACAAAGATTTTCTTTTTTACCACGAACTCCTATTTAACAATGGAGAAGTGTTGACTATATAGGCCAGACACATGCAAGGGGTGGGTGATTTTTATTTTTATTTTATTTTTTAATAATTACCCACCCCCACCCATCTCAACATTAATGCTGGCCTGTACACACAGGGCGTGTACAGCCAGCAATAATCTTAACGATGACAAATTTTGCTATTGAACAGGTAGAACAGGTAGAATTAATATTGAAGTTAATATATCAAACATAAAGCAAAAATATGAAAATTGGTTTTGACATGTTGACATTTAGAAATAGTCATGATATTGTGGGACATAGAGGTAACACATTAAATGATAGAAAAAAAAATGTCGTTTCCAACTAAAAACAAATGTTTCATAAACTAATACTTTTTATTCCAAAGTAAAAAAAATAAAATAAAATGTCTTAACTATGTTTATTTTGTTTCAAAATCAATATATTTTTAATTAAAAACATTCAACAACAAATTTTATTTGTCATGTTTCCTTGTTATTAGTACACAACTAAGTTAAATCCTCAACAACAAAATTCATTATCAATCATTTTTCGTTTGTCGAACTTGCATTTTTAATTTATTAGTTCAACAATATTTTAAATCTCTTTATGAAAAAAAGTTTATTCCTTAGGAAAAGTTATGAAGGGAGAAGTGATATGAAAGAATAAGAATTTTCTTTTTGTTGCACAAAGCTCCACTACGCCAAAAAGGGACACTTCAATGGAGTCTTTATTTATTCTCCCTCTTTTCTTTTTTAGGGTTTCATCTATATTTGGTAGCCGATTAATGTATATAAATAATATTTTGACACTTTTTTTTAATAAAAAAAAAGGTTAAAACAATGAGAGTTTACTTGAAATGCAAACGACTTAAATATGTATTATCTAAAGGTTCAAACTCCAACAAATAGAGATTATAAGTTCGCAAATCGAATAACCGTGGACAACTCTATGTTCAAGTAAAATGCAATAAGAATTTATCGAGCTGAATAAAATTATGATTGAAGAGTTCAAAACTATTTCATTTCTTGATGTTAGCAATGCACAGTGGTCAAAGAGGATTATTTTCTTGTCGGGACCTTTTATTTTTTTCTCATGTGGGAATGAGATTTGATCTCCCATTGTTCCTCAATAGCTCAATGGTAGAGCGCATCCTTAATAATTACGTTTAATTTTGTGAATATTAATTGTTTCTTGGGATACCTTGGAATAGTGTGACTAAAACGTTCATGAATTGGGGACAAAAATAGTTGGGATCAAAAGTCTAAAAGATAGAAGAAAATCAAATCAAGATAAAGGGAATAAATTCTCATGGATCGCTCATAAAGATCTACCTTTAGGAGGCATCATAATTGGAATCATACGATTTTATTGTTCTCTTCCTTTTTCCACTGTCATTGATTACCATTGTAGACAAAATATATAAATTTTAAAATCAAATATTTAGTTGTTTAACTTTTAAATTGAAAAAATAAATCGTATACTTTTTTGCATTGATAAAATTAATAATTTTACTACGAGATGGTGCTGTCATGCACCAATAGGGTCATCAATATATCGATGTTGGGAGCGGCAGCTATAGCAATTAGTAAAGTCGGAATTAATATAACTTATTACGTCGATATGTCTATTTTTAGCATATTTACTTGATGAATATTAAGTCCCTGTTTGATGGCCATTATAAAGGGAAATTGAGAGAAAATGATATTTTAAATAATAATTTTTTGGAGAATGTGTGGTTAAAAAGCATGATTTTTTTTAATTTACGTGCCAAATTTTTTTTATGCAGGTACTCTGTATATTAATAAATTAATAAAACAAAATATTAAAATAATGTGACCTAACTTGCCTAAAATTTTTGGTGGTGCTTTCTTTTCATGACGTTCACATTACTCTCGTCATTCTAATCGAGTGACCATGAATAAGTAATTTAAAGTTAAAATGCATATTCAATGGTTCATCGGTCAATTTTGAACCTTACCATAACAATTGCAAGGTATAAATACGAAGCCAACGTATAACTTTTCTTTCCAACTAGTTCAATGCTTTAGTTCGTTATATGAATATGCATTTAGGCTTTTGATTCGAAGTATCAAATTCAATACAATTTCTATCCACAAAGGTTCGGAAAGCTTTTAGACTATGACATCCCCTATCAAGTAAGGGCTTAAAATATGGAAAGCGAGAATTTGGCTAAGGTTTTAATATTGTTTTTTCTCCTTGTAGAATTTTGGAGATATTTATAGATTTTCCAAACCTAAGGACATTTTAGTCCTTTGGCATTACTTGGACTCGTGTCACGTTATCGTTGACGAACATAAAACCAAATACAATTCTAAACGGTTATATGACACATGGTTATTGCTCATTGGTTTGGTTATTACTTTCACATGATTTTCTCAATTACTTTGCCCACATGTTCGTCTTACTTAGGTTTCCCTCATGTCACCATGTTGTTAATAAGATATTTGTACGTCTTCCTCTGAGTAGATGCTTCTTGTGAAATTGATTAATATGTGTTCGTTTGTGGTCCAATTCGTCCTCTGTCTAACTTCAGTTATGAGGCTTTATACCTAAATGTTCAATTCAACCTACATAGGCTTTTGGGGAGGTTTTGATACTAGGGCTTTGTGCTGGTGCACTCTGTTCTTGATTCAAATCTTTGATAATTTCAAGAATAAAACTTCTTGTATATAAAGAATTACAGAAAGTTTGCATGTAGCATGTAGCACAACTCAATACTTGACAATCTTCTAGTCATTTTTACTATTGTTGTCAAGACTAAGTATTCAGTATGTCGAATAAAGACCTTAATAAATACATTGCAGCTAGAACCAAACCCATAAATCGCTTTTGATTAAAAAAGATTGGAATAACATTATTGCCGAATATCATGAAACATGACTAGAATAAGATTAAGAGAAAGTTTGGGACTCATTTTCATGTAAAAATGTATTTTAGAATAGTAAATTAATGGGAAAATGTGTGACTGAAAAATAAGGAAATTTTTTTGATTTACGTGTAATATTATTTTAATAAAAAATGTGTGGTTGAAAAAAAGAAAAAGACAAATACATTTTGAAAAAAAATAGATACCAAACAAAGCTTAAAGAAAACATTAATAGTTCATTGTACAAATGTTAATACCGACTGTAGTGGCAGTTGAGAATGTCAAATCGTAAACTATAAAATAATAATTATTATTATTAATTTATTGCCAAATAATTCCAAACAATTACACGATTGCCAATAAAATAAATAAAACTACTAATCATGAGGAATAATACGTATAGGTTACCAACTTTAAACGGAAATCGCCTTTCCTAGTTTCCTTAAGAATAAAGAAAGAAATTGGTACTCCATTTTTATTTGCCTGTCAATTCTCTTTTCCTGCAGCATCTGCTAAGCATCTAATTCCTTTTTTCACTTTTGTGCTGTGGAATTTTTTTCCCCTCTCAGAAAGTGTTTTTTGGCATTGATTATTACAATACAACAGAAAGTTTATGCCCTTTTACTGTTCTTCATCCTCCAAATTTTTTCTTTCTTTTTCTCTTCTTGGGTATTTCTTTTCACACTTGAATGAAATTGGTTTTCATAGGGAATTCTCTTGCTTTAATTCCTAGGTTCTGCTCATTTAGCTTGAAAATATAATCTTTCTTGTTTTTTCCACTCTGAATTTTCTTCTTCCTTGGGTTCACATATTTTATTGAATCTACTAACTATTGGGATCTTCATTCCATGGGACTGTGTCATGGAAAACCCGTTGAAGCTCGACAAAATCTATCTGAAAATCCAATAATACCAGGTGAAATCAATGAACATACTCTGAATTCTTCAACTGGGAAAACACCAAAATTCCCATTTTACAGCCCAAGTCCCTTCAAGAACTCACCTGCAAATTATAGCATCTCTTCAACTCCTCTCCGCTTCCTTAAGCGCCCATTCCCACCACCATCACCAGCTAAACATATTAAGGCATTTCTTGCAAGGAGGCATGGTTTGATGAAGCATAATGAGGCTACTATACCTGAAGGGAGTGAGTGTGAGATTATTGCTTTGGACAAGAATTTTGGGTTTTCAAAGAATTTTATCAGCCATTATGAGCTTGGGGAAGAAATGGGAAAGGGACATTTTGGGTATACTTGTGCAGCTAAGGGAAAGAAGGGAAGCTTGAAGGGACAAGATGTGGCTGTTAAAGTTATCCCAAAATCAAAGGTCTGTCTTTTAATGGCAGAAAGTCTCTCTTGCAATTACTTTTGGTTTGTTGATTATAGATTATAATTATAATGTAATAGATAATATCAATATCTCCTGCCTTTTTTATAATATGACTCTTTTGCTCATCTTGCAAGCTTTCTGTCAGTTTCCATGTGCTGACAAGTCTCGGTTGATCGAAGTTCTTTTCTATTCTTTTATCCTTGATTGATTACAATTTGTTAGTGGTGATGTTAATTAATTTTCTTATTGTTTAGTCTTGCTTGTAATGCTTTTCAGACAGGAGGAGGCTTTGCTGCAACTATTCAGAACTCTCCTTTTTATGCATATTTTAGATTTTCTAAATGCGAAATAATTTTGATCCCACTTTTCTGTAAAGTATTTTTATTGAGTGTTCACACATCAGAGTTAGTTTTCTGTTGTGGATGATATACAAAAGGGAATCAGTGACTTCAAAACTGCCATTATTGTTCTTGTGAGAGTTTGAATTTGATGTAATAGCCAAGTTAATCCATAATTTGAACCCCCCCCCACCCCCCCCCAAAAAAAAAGAAAACAAAAGAGCGGAAAATCATCCCATGCTCATAATTGTTCTTTATATATTGATGTACATTACTAGCTAAAAAGAGTGTGAAAATTGATGTTCACTTCATCTGAATGAAATGAAAAAACATTTGTGCAGATGACTACAGCTATTTCCGTTGAGGATGTTAGAAGAGAAGTGAAGATATTACGTGCACTAACAGGACACGAGAACTTAGTGCAATTTTATGATGCATATGAGGATGAAGACAATGTATATGTTGTGATGGAGTAAGTTTATACTTTGAACTGTCTAGATCTCACTAATGTGGGTAGGTGCTTCTGCCATATTTCTTCTTATCTAATTGTCTTAAAAATATCTCCTAATTACTAGTGGCAAGACTCAGTATTTTGGCAGTGCTCAAAAGTATGTCAAACATAAATTTCGAGGAAAGTAATTTTTAAGCACCATGAAACATGCTTTAAATCATACAATATGATTTGACAAAGTTTAAATCCTCTTTTTCTCTTTTCCAATGTGTAAACCTCAGTTTACAACCATCTGTCACCTGGTGGCCATGCAGACTGTTTGAAGTCCATCCCCGACTGTCCTTGATGGGCCCCTAAATATGTGAATAAAGATTTGAACAGTGTATCGTGCTTTCTTTTGGAGTGGAGTGGTCTTAGGCTCTTATGTATAATTTGCATAGCATTCAGAACTCGAAGTTTTGGAGCTCATCTATGCTTTTTCCCCTTCTTTTGCAGGTTATGCAAAGGAGGTGAATTGTTGGATAGAATACTCTCTAGGTTATTTTAATGTTTTTCTTTTTCTATATTTGATGCATTAGTCTCTTGCTTCAATCCTTCTAATTAATTATCCACCTTTTGCTCTAGGGGTGGCAAATACTCAGAAGAAGATGCTAAAATTATCATGGTACAGATTTTAAGTGTAGTGGCTTACTGTCATTTCCAAGGCGTGGTTCACCGTGACTTAAAACCTGAGGTATTCAGCTACTGATATCTCAAAATCTGCTTTTTAAGTTACATGATGGCTTCCTCAGAAAATTAAACCTTTAAATTATTTTTTTTTTCCTGGCAAATATTCGTAAGGCCTCGCGTTTATTGAACAAGTCCATTCAATGCAAAAGCACCAAGGACCTTTTTCTCTTACACTGCCCTAGAATACATATTCGTCTATTGTGTTTTCATTGTTGAATCTCTTAAGAAGATTTCCATGGCCCTTTCTTATTGAGGAAAATTATAAATTTGACATAATTTAAAAGTTAGTCAGAAAATTAAACGACAAATTTTCATGATGGTGCTAGTTGGTTGATGTTATTGATGGAATGTGATAACTGATTGTTTGGGTTGAGCATCAGTTGGACTAAGAAACATATAAAGGCTGTTGCCTATTTCGGCTAATAGTTTATATCTTAATTTACAGACTAATTATTTTTGGAATGTATTTGGAAATGACCTCATGATTTTATATGCATTCATGTATCGGTTTGAGACACTCTTCTCCCTTACCTCCCCTTCCCTGTTTTGCCATGAGGGAGCCAGAGGTGTCTGATAAAGCCAGCACTATGGACACATTCGGAATGATGAAAACCAGTTTTGGGCGATTTTATACTTGTTCATATAGAATTGTCTTGCTGCAAGTATCCCCTGTTCTAAAATCTTCAATTTTAGATTTATTGATTGACATGTACATCTTGTAGAAGCAAACTTGGTCCGTCCGGTTTAAACCTGGATGTTGAATTGTAATTAGTACTTAAATTTCAATGTTTTGAACTGTCTTTTGATAATTCAGTGCCATTCATTATTTCTTGATCCTTTTTTGAGATAAAAAAGGTTAGATCGACAGATTTTCCATGCTCACATAACTAAATGTGTCCATATAGTGGATAGTATTCTCTTAATAGATGCGTGTTCCAAGGGGCACGATGCAAGAAGGAAAATTGACCTATTTTACTCTCTCATCTGCTTATAGAGATTTATCTTCTTTTTTTTTCTGACACTCTTTCTAAGTTTTGCTTCAGAATTTTCTCTTCACTTCGAAAGACGAGTCTTCCCCTCTGAAGGCTATTGACTTTGGACTATCTGATTACTTAAAGCCAGGTTAATTCTATCGCTAAGCCCTTGTTTGGTTTCCATTCTTTCTTCATTAAAATGAAAAATATGACCATTATTTATCACATGAAGCCACCAAATTTGAATTTCTCTCTCTTATGTAGGATCCGTAACAGCTATATTTTTCATTCTCATTCTTCCAAAAATGAGAAACAAACGGGTGCTAAATCTTTTGTTGCTTTTCTCATCATTGTGTTATATTAGAGTTGATTAATAAATATTTTTGCAGATGAAAGGCTGAATGATATAGTAGGAAGTGCTTACTATGTGGCACCTGAAGTTTTGCATAGATCATATGGAGCAGAAGCTGACATGTGGAGTATTGGTGTTATTGCTTATATTCTTCTTTGCGGAAGCAGACCCTTCTGGTCTCGGACAGAATCTGGAATCTTCCGAGCTGTCCTAAAAGCTGATCCAAGCTTTGATGAAGACCCATGGCCTTCTTTGTCTTCTGATGCTGTAGATTTTGTTAAAAGATTATTGAACAAGGATTATCGTAAAAGGCTAACAGCAGTTCAGGCTCTCAGTAAGTAGCTAGACATCGTTAAGTTTTGGTATGCAGTTTACGACAAGGCTGGATGATATTATATACTAGATTTTAGCTTCTTTTTCTTATTTGATTCTATCTTGTACCATCCATCCTCCTTACCTAACTTACCATAAATGTGCAACTTCTGGCAATGCCTGATTAAATCAAAACATTATTGCATTCGACTCTATGCATATTTTTGTTTCTTGTCATCGGCAAATTTTGTTAAAAGATGAATTTAGTCTGGAAAATGAAAGAAATTAATTAGCCCTTTGACTCAGTTCACCTAGAAATTTTGTCAGTGTCATGGTGTTTATTTTGGTGACATTATTCTAATACATATGTACTGATTATCTTGTTTAGGTCATCCATGGCTGGCCAGCCATCATGATGTCAAGGTACCTGTGGATATGATAACGTATAAGCTTGTAAGAGCTTATATATATTCTTCTTCTCTGAGAAAAACAGCTTTAAGGGTAAGTATATTTGGCTGTAAATAAGAACATTCTTTCTAAATTTAGTTGATAATCTGAAATAAGTACGAATCTATAGCAAGATATTTACTTTTAGTTGCTTTTCTTGTATGTTCATTTTATTGTGTTTACTTATCAACCTAATTCTTCATCGAATTTAGCTTCTGTTTAAGTAAATTGAAGTAATAGATTCAACTGAAGGAGGATAACTTATCGCAATTCTTTCATTCATTTATCTTCAGATAAGTAATGTTTATGTTCGGCAAACACATTAATGTTTAAATCATATTGTTTGATTGAAATATCTGCTCTGCTACTGTAACAGGCTCTTGCAAAAACATTGGCAATACCACACTTATCCTATCTCCGAGAACAGTTCGGTTTATTAGGGCCAAACAAAAGTGGATTTATATCCCTTCATAACTTCAAAATGGTCAGTTTTCTTTCCACCTGAGACACGCAAATCCACCATCTATCCACAAAAGAAAAATAAAACAAACAAAAACAGGAGGCTTCTATGTTTTCTCTATCAATCTTAATCCTTTGTAAGCAGGCTGTGGCAAAGAACTCGACAGAGGCAATGAAGGATTCACGTGTTCTTGATTATGTCAATATGGTAAAACTTTCAGTAACCTTTCTGTTCAAATGTTTCTTTTCTTAAAGCATATTTGGGAAGTATTTTTAAATGGTTTTGTTTATAAATAGATATAAATGAGTGGTGGATAGGTGGGAAGTACTTGTGGGTCCCACAAAATGAAGAACATGTTTATAAACATGAATCAAAAATAGGCTTAGTTTTAGGTTTATAACCGCTCGGCACAGTTTACTATGATATGAGTTATGAGAATTGCTTATGCATTTTCACCTGCCATGTAGGTGAGTTCTCTTCAATACAGAAAATTGGATTTTGAAGAATACTGTGCTGCAGCAGTAAGTGTATATCAGCTGGAAGGAATGGAAAGTTGGGAGCAACATGCACGCCGTGCCTATGAGTTTTTCGAGAAGGATGGTAACCGGGCGATTATGATAGAAGAACTTGCCTCAGTATGCTCTCTCTCTCTCTCTCTCCCTCTCTTGTGGCCTTCTTCTTGACTTTTGGTGACGTTTAATGATTTATGCCCCTCGTGGGACGTTGGAATTGAACTGTTTTCTTTAAATTAGAAATCTTCTCAAGTTTGTTACTAATGGCTTTAAATTGTTGAAGTTGTTAATACATTATGTTTCAAATTCTTATTTTCGCTTTCCATACTAGTTTAAAAAATCATCCGACATTCATCTTCTCTCGAAACAGGAGCTTGGACTTAGTCCATCTGTTCCCATTCACTTAGTTCTTCAAGATTGGATAAGACACTCAGATGGGAAGCTCAGCTTCGTGGGGTTTGTCCGACTTCTTCATGGAGTTTCTTCACGCTCACTTCAGAAGGCTTGAAATATGCTCCAGCTATACATCATTTTCTAACGATGAAGTAACTCTGCAGAAGGTTCATCTGATTCCGGAGGCTTTGATGAAGTAACTGTGCAGAAGGTTGATGAAAGTCGAAAGCCACAGCCAGTTGCAGCTAATTTACAGTTGTACTTGTTTCCTTATAGTTTTCCTTTACTCCCATAATTTGGTGGGGTTGAAATTAGAGTAATGTACAGCTGAGTAGATCACAAAATGTGTTCATGGCTAGAAAAAGAAGTAACTTTTGTGTCTCCTTTTTTTGGGTTGTATCCCTTGTGTACCCTTTGAGTTTAGCTTCTTAATAATTTGTAATTCATGATGTAGAGGAGGTTTTTTATGTAGCAAACAATGGAACTCATGTTTTTTCATATGTATTTGTTTCATGTTGCTTAATCGTTTTTTCGGTGTTCTGATAGTCTCGAGTTCATATACATTTGACATGATGTTTAGCGATGTATAACTTTGTCTCATATAAAACTTATCAGTTGTGATCACAAATTTATGGCTCTCCAACTGTATAAACGGAAAGTTAATAGTTATTTTTTTTTAAATGCAAATGGAACGAATGATTCAATCTCCTACCTCGCGATAAAAAGGAGAACATATATCATAATTTTTGGAACAATGTTAGAAATTTTAAAAAATTAATTAAATTTAAATATTCGATTCGTCTAACTTTTTTATTTATTGATTACTTATTGAGGCTCAACTTAAAAATGGATTAGAATGAAAAATAATCTTGTATAGCCCAATTATGGGGCATGTATATTCAAGTGTGACCCGTGCCTGTCCAAGTCTTATAAATAGAGGGTGCTAAGGTTTTCTTACGCTGTATTACGCTATAAATTGGTCGAGGCAAAAAGGGGGACATATTCATCACCCGTTGGCACCAGTTTATCGTGTTGCAGTGATTTCTACTCGAGTTCTTTATCACCAAACTTGGAAGGTAGTATCGGATTCTATTAGTGTAAAAAGGGGCTTTATATGTTGAAATCATACTCGATCTGATTGTTGTGAATGATTTTATTCCGTCTCAACTCCTTATGATTTATTTATTTTTCTGAAAATTTAGTTTCTTGATGGAAATCTTTGTCTGGCAACGGTGATTTTTCGACAACATTTCTCCGGAATTTTTAATGCGTCCGTCCCTGTGAAAAATTAATTGTTATTAAATCTGTCTAAATTGATTTTGAAATAAATAACAGGAATTTTAAACCCGCTATCAATGAAATTATTTTATCTTATCAAACTAATTTAAATTTTTATTAGATATTTTTTTATATCTGTTATGTTTTTCTTTTTCATTTTTCTATGGGTGATCATTAAACTGGAAATAAAATGGTGAATGCAACTCTGTAAGCTATTCTATAAACATTTCTTGTATTGAATTCTGAAAAGTACGTGAATATTCTTTAGTGGTAGCAAGGAGCGGCATGAAAGAGTCAAGCTAGTTGCAATTTATGTCACCACTCAATTGGAGAGCAATTTCATTTTTCTGAATGTAATTATATGGGAACTCATAAGTACCTTTACTTCTAGTTTTAACAAATGATTTCTTTATGGCCGGTTAAGGGTGTTATCTTTACTGTGGAAACAGGCAAGTATATCCAGTGTAGTAGGTGCTACTTTGACTTTGTGATATGCCGTATCTGGTTCGTGAGCATTTGTTTATTGGCAACATTGGAGACGCAGCCGAGATTCTCCAAAATGGAAGCGACGAAGTCACACACATACTATCCGTTCTCAGTTCAGCATCCATTTCCTTTTTTTCAGAATGGCGTAGCGGAGTCTCAATTCCAAGTAAAGAAATTCGAAATGTTTATGTTGGGGGTACTAGATCAGAGGATGATGCATGTGATGGTTCAAGTAGTTCGCTCTCACCAAATAAGCTTCTATATGCTTTGGAGTATGCGGGAAAAGATTTGAAGTTTGTGAGGATGGCTGTGCCATTGAGAGATATGGAGAATGAAGATTTGCTGGACTATTTGGATGTTTGTTTGGATTTTATTGAAGAAAGTAGGAAAGCAGGGTCTGTTTTGGTCCACTGCTTTGCTGGTGTATCAAGGAGGTATAATTCACAGTTCACACTTTGATTCTTGAGTTTGTTATGTTAACCTTGGAATCTTGCTTGTAGTTTTCTTTCAAAACATAATTTTTTTTGTCAATCATAAAGTTTGCATTTTTATTTTACTAGGCTGATAAAGTTAGCCACTTTAGGACTCTTTAATGTTTTCATAAAATTAAAAATTATACATATACAATTTGGTATATTGTTATCAATATTTGTATTAAAGAGCTTTTGAACATCAGTGTTCAATTTTTTATGTTTGAGTGTTACAAGGAGAAAGATATTCAACCAAAACTGATTCTGTAAGAGAGTATTGGGTTTTCCCAAGAACTTCTATTGGATTTGGTTCTGGAACAATGGACTCTCATTATTTCTTAGAAAAAGCTTTTGCTTACGGCATTTATAAGCTCGCAGGAGAACAAATGATTATGCTTTTAATGGAAATATTCTTTTTCTGAAATTCCCTCTAATCCCCTAACATACTCCAGCTTGCTAGTTTCCACGGGCTATTCCATTATGGTAGTCCAGTTAACCCAGCCTAGTTGATAATTGTTATTGTTTGACTCCTTGCATTAACTCTCCTTGAATGCTAGGTTATTATATACACACATAAACTTATTTATCGATATCCTTTTTTATGATCATTGATGAGTTTTTATAAAAATGTTCTAAAATACATGCAAGGTATAATAACCTAGAATTCTTGGAAATCAAGTGAAATTACTTTGATATTGGCTATATCTAAGCTTATTAATAATGGATTAGTATATGAATCTGCTTTTGGCACTTTGTTTGATATAGTTCTACATCTACTTAAGTATCAAATGATAATATCTTTTTCGAGTACATCAAGATTGATAATTTTCTTTTGAAACATGTATCCAATGGAACGAAGATTTTATCCATAGATAGGCCGTTCATAAATATTGCATTCGTGTAGCTAATCTCATATGAGCTTATGCTTTTTGGGGTGACGTTTGGTTGAAAAATGTATCTCAAGAAACAAAGACCTATTTATCCATGAATTTGATCTTTTGAAGTGTTACACGCGCGCACATACACACACGCTTAATGCACTATACTTAATGTAATATGATTTAATGCTCTATTATAACTTTAGAACTTATTAATTTGGTCAGGATATTTATTCAAGTAATTAAATACAATAACTTGAATATTTTGTCGCTTCTTTGTTAGATTTATCACAGAATCTATGGAAAAATTAATGCAAGTAGACATTTTGCAACCACGAAAAACTGCTTGCTTGCCATTGCATGGTCAAGGTTACTCTTAGTTACTCTGCTATTTGAATGCATGGCATCCTTGAATAGGTCAGAGAAGACACGTTGTAATTGATTGTGTTCTCTGCTTTGTCAAGCCCTGAGGGTTTACACCCTTCTTTGCCTGTGTTCATTACAGTGCAGCTATCATTACAGCATACCTGATGAGAAGTGAACAACTATCACAAGAAGGTGAACAATCAAAATATTAGTTTATGGTTTTGGAATTTCAATATGGTATATGTTTGTGTTTTAAGTTTTTTTCTGTCAAAATCTTAGGCTCCTATGGATTAGCTTGAATATAATGGCAATTAATTCATATTTTCGGTCTTCCTTCACGTTTCTTCTTTTCTTGTACATTTTAATCTTTTTCCATCTATTTTCTAACTTTTTCCTGTATTTTGTGCTAATTCTCCAGATGCAATTGAATCCTTACGGCAAAGCTGTGAATTTGTCTGCCCAAATGATGGTTTCCTGGATCAGGTTATACAAGTGCTAACCTGTCAATATAGTGACCTTTCAGAATGAGTCTCAGCAATTAGGTTCTTTACCTTTTCGATGATTTCTATCTCTTTTCCTTCTATGTTTGCAGTTGAAAATGTTTGAACAAATGGGCTTCAAAGTTGATCGTGCTAGCCCCACATACAAGCGCTTCCACTTAAAAGTACTAGGTTGAATGTTTATCTTATGACATTTGATATCATGTTTCTTGATTCTTTATCTTTTAGTGTGAAGACTAGTTTGTTTAATTTAATTTATTCACACGTTTATTGTTTATTATATTTTACTTAATGTTATGAAGCCTTGAATTTTCTAAGGGACCTGATGTTTATTGGAAAGTGATAACTGCAAATTTATGCTTGGTTCATTTGTGATTATACTACATGCTGGAGAAAGTGATCTTTCTCTCACCTGTGACAAAGGATAAGAAGCAATTTTACCTTGTTTGTCTTAAATTGGCATTACATAATGGAAGATAATGAAGCAATTTTTGATGTGAATGGTTGAATATGGTTACGACACAGGTAGAGATGATGCTTCTGACAAGAAATAGACAGATTTCACCTTTATCGTTCATGTATACAGCCTGCATAAAAAGTATATTTATAGATTTAGTTTTTAATAAAAAAATTATGGCTTGAAATATTAAATATACTTTTTTATTCCAGCTGTTGATTCTGTATGTTGCATATCGAAAATTTTCTTCCTTTTCATGTGTAGTTGTGTGTTATTTCTCTAAATGTTGTATGAAGATTTAAGTAAATGAGGCATGTCCACTGGTAAGATATTTTCCAGCTACTGGTGGTAACTGCTCCTGTTTCTTAGATTTCACTCAGCATGGAGAAATATGTATTCCAATTCTTTTCTTTTTCTGGTATCACAATCCTGTGTAGAACGGATGAATAAAAATACAAGCTTTTGAATCTTATCAGCTGATTACATCCGCTTAACCAACACAAGACTGTTTGCATTAGTTCAAAAATAGTTTTTTTACGACTTCCGTACTGAGCTACTGCCATTCCCTTATATCAAGTTTCATCTAATTTGTTTTGATACCTATTGACCATAGAAGTTTGCCCTTTTAATAGTGAAATTTACCAGTGCATGGCTCCCAACCATATGTTTGTTGATAATTCATGCCTTGCTTCGAGTAAATCCTATTTTTGTTCAAAGTGATTGATGAATATACATGGAAACTATCAGATACATGCATAATGTGAATTCTCCTTGGTACATTTTAATTGGTATTCTTCTCATAGAAAGATGATGCAAGCATATGTTTTCCTATGCGGGCTCTATCTTTCTTGAAAAAAAGCAGAAGTTTTACCTTTTGTGGTTTTAAGGATTATTCAATGCCATATTGGTATTCTGCGCCTCATAACAGGTGATTCCTACCACCGTGGGGAACTAATTGATAATTCCAAGTTTGGTGCTGATCCTGGCTTGCCAGCAGAAAATGTTTCCTCCGAGGTTGAAACATCACATGATAAAGAAGCATCTACTCCTACTCCTGTGTACCGTTGCAAGAAGTGCCGCAGAGTTGTTGCTTTGCAAGAAAATGTTGTAGACCATGTTCCAGGAGAAGGACAGTCATGCTTCGAGTGGCATAAAAGGAGAAGTGGAAACATTTTTAACAAAGCTGGTGATGATGAATGTTCTTCTATCTTTGTTGAACCTCTACGTTGGATGACAACAGGTACTATATTTCAACTTTTTAACTAGAAATTTTGGATATCTTGTGCATATAATGAGCAGACGTGGCCGGGCTTAGAAAGTTCACTTATAGGTTACTTGTAATTTAGTTAAATAAAGTTCTAAAGTCATCGAGTTTATTATTTATCAAAATTGAGAATTATCACATTAATTAATTTGACAGTAAGGAAAAATTTATTTTTTTTTAAAAAAGGAACTTTTTAATTTAAAAGTAAGTTATATAATCATTTCTGGGATCTAATTAAAGTTATTTAATCATTTATGGGATCAAAGTAACTTTTACTTATTTTCAACCTTAGCCAAACATGCTTAAGCCTTTTAGCTTGTCAACTTAGCTATGGATCCCATAGTCCAACCTGTCTATTCTTGATTTACATTTGGTGAAACATGGTTTTACATGATTTCACTGCAAAATTGGTTATGCATCATTATCTTTTCGATCTTTCCTATTTAGTCACTTTTTATTATCATGCTAAGGGCTCTGTGAATATTTGAAATTTCAGCTTTAGTTCAATGTATTTTTAACTTAATTCTAACTTCACCTTTTACTAGATATGCGCGTCATATTTAAATTATTGGGTTTTCTGATGTTGTGCAGTCAAAGAAGGTGCACTTGAGGGCAAGCTGTTATGTGCCCAGTGTGAAGCTCGCTTAGGTTACTTCAACTGGTCTGGCATTCAGTGCAACTGTGGAAGCTGGATCACTCCAGCCTTTCAGCTTCACAAAAGCCGAGTAGACATCAGCACCATGTAAAATTTCTCATAGATTGAGAAATGGATTGCACCCATATGTTGTGTTTCCTTGCTTTTACATTTTGACAGGAATAAATCTCATATGCTGGCACCATATTTTGTCGAGGGTGCCAATAATACAAGGTTCCAATTGTTCGACAATTTTGGATTAGACGCGTGTGAAACTCATGCGTAGTGATTCAGAGTTGCTCGAGCAATTAATTGATACTGTAAAACCTGCCTCTGAGATACAATTGCTCCTTTTTGTTTGATGAAAATCTTTGAAAAAAAAATTGGAAGTATTAAATAGCATCAATGTATGTGGACATTCAATCTTTTGATATTACTCAAGAGGGATCCTCTTTGTAAATTTATATCGAATTTTATGATACTTTCCTTATGTTTGATTTACTCTTGATCTTTGATGCAGAGTACGAGAATTTGAAGCAATAAGCTAGCACAGCATGCTATAGAAATAACTATGTAATATATAATCAAGAAAACATTGTGTGGATTTCTTGGATCTTTTGTGGCATGATACAGTCTTGACACTGTAATTTACCTCTCGTTTTGGCCTCCATTCTCCTTTTCATTCTTTCTCTCTCTTTTATTTTCAACTACACAATCTTCCATAAAATAATATTACACGCAAATTAAAAACTTTTCATTCTTTTTCAACTACAAATTTTGAGCATTGCATCCTTAACAAACATGCCACTAGTGTACTGAGCATGTTCCTTGTTAGCACAAATTCCCCCCTCCAACGTATAAGTCAACTTATAAGCCACCTCAAGCGGATTATACCTTTGTAAATTGGAAATTTGTGAGTAAGAGAAATGAAACATAAGTGAGAATCTAAAATCAACATTCTGTATATTCAGAAGTTCAATTTGTTAATAACCTGAATGATCAAACAACTATACACATTAAAATCGATGCCTCCAAGGGCGTTAACGGTCAATCAACTATAGACGAGAACATATCTTGATTTGAGTACACCTTTCGTTCTCCAAAGCCAAGTTATTGTCAGCTCAATGTGCCTGTGACTCGAGAAGGATGTTGGTGGCGGCATTAATGTCATTTCCGGCATGAATCAGTGCTTGCCTAGCTGGGTTCCTCTCGAACCCCATAGAAACCAGTGTGGCAATCAAGTCCTCAGCTGGCTCTATTGTAGACGACAATGATGCAGGATAGTTCCTCTGAAACCAAGAAAAGTTCAATTCTTGGAAAATGCCAAAGATGTGGATATAGATTTGATACTGCTTCCATGTGCATCCATGCATAAAATAGAACCTTATATAATAGTTGCATGATCAGTTTCAAATAATTTATACGTGCAATTTTTTGTTAAATTGTCATGGTGCTTGCGTTAAAATCTCCCTCAAAATATTTATGCCGTAGCACAAATTGAGAAAAAATTTAAATTCATGAAGATGAATCTACGAGGGCTATGTGAAGACTGGTTCTGCTTCAGTAATGGAAGGTGAGGTAATAGATTAAAAGGAAACGAATTGTGCAACTTCGCATTAAGAGCCATAAAAATATCAGATGAATATGTTTTCCATGACTTCACTGTGATTTTGCGAACTTCTATCATATAAACTAACAATTGAAACTTTTCCAAACTAAAATATGAATGCATATGCCGATGCTGAAAATCAAACTTTATACTTGCCTCCACTGCCTGACTTGCTTGGAATGGTGAACTTCCCAGGATATTCCTAGCTGCTGCAGTGGGTGATGTACTACCCCTGAATGGCCAAGAAAGCCCCGAAAAGAACGAGGCAATAAATTCGGGAAACTGAAAGAAAAGCAGATGAAAAGTCATGCATAGCAGCTTCAATACACGAGTAACACTTCATGCAGTTTTGTCAAAGGCAATGGCATATATGAAATGGATAAAACTAAGCTTCTATTTGGCCCCTATTTTCTAAAACTTATTTTCAACCACACATTTATAGAAGCCACAACTTTTATCAACTTTTCAACAACAGATTTTATCAACTTTTATTGAAATTACTAAACATCTGATCTTAGAACAACACCACAGGGGCTAAAGAAAAAAGATTCGGTGCAACCTTAATCTTGCGAACATGAAGAACATTTAAGCGATACATGAAACCCGCAAGAATACCGCAGATCCCAGGTAACATAGATTTTTTCCAGGATGACAGAAGAAGCTGCAAGATAAATATGCAGATGACATTCGGCATTAGATCAGATGAGTATCCAAATTGGGAGAAAGAAAAAGAAGAAAAAGGATACAGTCATGCTTAGTATGCATTACCTGAAGACCAGCTAAATAAATAAAAGTCTTGTCAGAAAAGTGGAGACTGAAAACTCGAAACCTTGTTGAAACTGGAATGTCGAAATAGAAGGGTATAAACGAAGAAAATATAAGACCATAGGGTCCTGATGTGAGTATGGTCAAGGAGGGATCTGCCCAAAAAATAAAGATTAAGGATAAGAATAAAAACTACCAATCATATATATAAACGGAAATAGGTGAATATATTTCAGATAGGTTATGGTCCCTCACTCCTGCACCGGTATCAACAAACACATAAGTAAACAGTAAAATGAACAATGAAATGGAGGATATACGAAAAAAAAAAAAAATGAAGAAGAAAGATAGAAAGAAAGAAAATCCATAAAATAATTGAACACCACAAGTTCTCAATTATCCCAATCTTTCAGATATATAATCAAGAATACTACAGTTATCATGATACAACAGGAAAAAGAGAAAAAAAGGCCATAATTTCCCAATATTATCTTTTCTTTTGTTTTTTTACATTTTTAGATGAGCCATATGATCAATGTATCAAGAATGTCAATGATACAAGCTCTTTAAATTGTCAGATCTACTAGGACCTGGCCCATTAAACCATGTTAATCTAATTATAATATTATTTATACAATTTAGCATTCATCAAATTCAAGAGAGTAAGGCATAATTATTTCAAGGAAAAAAGGAAGAAGAATACTCGAGCCAGTTTTATATATGATGTCAAATGATTAAAGATTCTAGCGCTTCACAAGAACGTTTCCAAGGATACTTGATATTACTGTCATAAATGTAACCTCGAGCAGGCAGCCAATAAATGTCATTGAAGGAAGGAAAAGATAAAGTTAATGCCACGGTGCATACCTTTGAGTAGTTTTAGTGCGAGGATTTCGAGCAGTAAAGAGACGATGACAGAAAACAAGATAAAGACCTGCATTAAAGATATTGATATGGGAAGGTCAGGAACATGTTGGTAAAAAGAGATAATTAATGCGCCATAGCTCGTTCATTTGAACTAATCAAGCAAAGAGTGGTCTTAAAAACTATAAAATATAATGGTGGATCCAGCATTAATATGTTGTTAAAAACTAAGAAACCATTAGCATAGAATTTTTCTCAAGTATAAACTTACGAAAATATTATGTCAGCGTTGTCCAGTGGGAAAATCTATTTTTCAGCATAAATAGAGCAAGAAGTTCATCAATGTTTGCTGAATGTTCAATTCTGAGACACTTGAAAAAGAATTTAATAGTCAATTTTTCATTTGCATACGAAGGCAAATATTCTTCAAAATAAACAGCAAGGATCAACTTGAATATCTGACATGCCTACAGGTCAACAGCAAGTTGAAAGAAATCAATGACATTTTTCTCTCTCATTCCTTGCATTGCATTCATAAGGAGACATCTCAGATTGTTGGAACTTAAGACTCAAACCATAACATATTGTTTAAGACTAAAACCGTAACATAATGTTTTTTAATGTCTGTTACAGCCAATATAAACTTCATGAATAACACCTAAATGACAAGTTTAGGGTAAATAGAGCCTTACAGAATATTTGTTTGAACCAATTTGTCTCTCAAACATACGGAAGTAATACAGCAGATAAATTCCAAAAAGTAGTTCTGGTGTGGACGAAAAGGCAAAGACTGATGCTATCAGCTTCCATATTTGAAGTTTCTTGAAAATATCCTGTCACGAGAAGACCAATAAATTAATGCTCCTTTGCAACCTATAATTAAAAGAGCAGGAAATAAAACTCAGTGCTAAACGTGTCAACTCTATTTGTTTCTGCATTTCACTATTAAATTCACGGTTTAAACATCAGAGCTTCTGTCACCCTAGTTATTTGTTTGGATCAATGAAAATAACACAAAGATAACCCAAGTTCATACCAAGAAACCGATACTTGAAAACATAAGGTTGCCTAAGACTAAGATTTCAACCCAAAAGCACTTTCCTATCCTGCATGAATAACTAAACTACTGCAACTGTAAGAATGCTGCTTGTGAGAATTAGAAATCAAAACATAGTTAAATCACAGCCAAACAAAAATATTGAATATAAAATTTAAAATGAGTAGGCTCCAACTTAAAATATCAATCTATAGTCTGGAATATGGGATACATATGGTGGGAAAGACGAAAAATGATTACAATTGGCTTCATCTAGTAACAAGGCAAGTTCATCTTCTTTGTACTCGTCTGATAGAGTAATAACGACCAAAGATCCACACACTTATGAAACAGGGACAGGTTTGGATATGAACTCAATCATTACCTAGGCACCTAGGGAAAGAGTTAAGTTGTCTAAATCTCAATTGTAATCAGTATATTCTCTACTTCTCAGGCAGCATGATTATGAAATAATATGAGCATCAAGTTAAAAGCTTCACATGCTATACTAGAAGATTATACCATAAGCTTCAATCTAAACAAGAAACTTAACTGAAACCAATTACCAAAAACTAAAATTAACAAAATTAAAATCAAAATACAATGAGCAAGGATAGAATGGAAAGAAACCCATAAAGCTTCGAGGTGAAAATCAAAGAGCAACAGAGCTCACGAAATTACTATCATAAATCAAAATGAAAAGCAAACAGGTAGAATGTCAATGAAACTAATTAAAAATATAACTAAAGACCTAGAAATACTGTCGCAAAAAGAGTACCTGATAGGACCAACCAACGTTGCCGGAGCGACCTTGAATCCCAAATAGGATCGTGAGAAGGGCAGTCGCAATTATTATCGTCCTTGTCACCGGCGCGTTGTCTGTAAAACAAAATCAACATTATCACATTTTTTTTATACAGATTGCACAATAAAAAATTTATTCCAAAGAAGAAGTGAGTAAAAGAACATGTAAAAACATGTAGTTAATTGAAATCTTTAATGGGAAATTATGGAGAAAAACGTACTGAAACCAGATGGGCCGCCGTTCATTTTCCGAATGAACCAACGACTTCTCTTGCTCGTGCTGTCTCTCTCTCTCTCTCTGTATATAAACTATATATCTTGTATGTAAATTGATGTATTTATGATCTTGATCGTCTTTCTGTTGGCTGTTTTCTAATGTATAATTCTCTCTCGACTTTTCCGTCTCCTATTATGTCTGGTAAACGGATTCGGAGCCAGTCCACTTTGCTTTTGGATCCTCCATGGCTGAAAATTTGTATTCTTTATTAAAAATCTACTTTTGTTTTTCTTTTCTGTCACTTTTTTGTTTTTTCTCCCAAATAAATAATACATTTTTTTTCTGATAATCTAATTTTCAATTGTATAAATTCAAGTACCAATAATGTGTAATATAAATTCATTGATCGATAAATTTATGATAGATCTTAATATTTGAATTAAATTTAAAATTCACCAATGAATTTATATGATGCGTAAAATAATAATGTGTGATAATTAGATCATTCCTGTAAATGCATAATTTTTACTTTATTTGAAAAAAAGTTGAGAGATGTTTGGTCATACTTAAGAGTAAGTTAAATTTACTTTTATGTTATTTATATAGTCAAATATAATTTTCAAAATTACTTATTTTACTAAATTTTAAGCACAAGCAAATACACGTGATGGACCCAATTATAAACTTTTTTTAATTATGAAAATGACTTGGAGATAAATTATTACTTGCTTAAGATTAAAACTTACTAATTTTTGAACCAGATCGAGCAGGGGATCTTGGAAATGTGATCTCGGATGGCGACCAACCTCCTGGAGAGAGCAATGTGCATAGACTAGATGAGATTCAATTCCATGTGTGCATGTCTGCTAGTTTTATTCAGTATTTTCCCCTCTTCTAGCCCCCAATGATTCCTATATTTCATAGTGGGCTTGATTTGTTAGTGTTGGCCTTTTGGTACAAAATAGAGGATGTAGTTGGGGTATAGAAGAGTACGTCTTTCTATATACCCAACAGTGGCTTTCATATCGAATGAGCACTCAATAGAAGTTAGAGCGCCTATACAAATATGAAATAAATTTTAGTAAAGGTCAATCGTCTAAGACAAGCTTAGCTCCGAAGTTGAGTTTATTTATTTATTTATTTTTTGTCCACTACTTATTATATTACTATACGTAATAAATCGAAAAGGTTCTAATATATCTCGAAAAATCGAAACCAAGACTATAAATTTTTGTGAATAGAAAAGAAAGAATAAAAAAGGTTTATTGACAAAAAAAGAAATAATTTACTAGATATCATTTATCTACTTCTAAAGTCTCAATTACAAAAAATATTGAACTAAAAAAAAAAAAAAATCTTTCTTTTGAAATCTACTATACAAGGTCAAATTTTATTCTGGAAAAAAAAATCTTGTTTTTTTAACTATAGTTAAAAATATTATTTTTATATAAAATGTCTACAATATTATGCCCCTGTTTTGAGCCCCATTACATTAAATTCTATTACATTTTATTTTTCGCTCTCCTATTTTCAACCACACAATCTTTCATAAAATTATATTACACGTAATTCGAAAACTTTTCATTCTTTTTCAATCACTCATTTTTAAAAAAAAACACTATTCCCCCATTGATTTTTCCACGTGATGGGGATCAAACAGGGGCTATGTATCTTAGTCATTACTTATTTAGTCAAACCTTCTTTAGCTACAATGCGAGAAATAACAATTTGTTGCACTTTTTGGTTACTTTGAATGAGGGTTAAAAATGTTACGAGCAGACTCTTCGAGTGGCATAACTTACTACTATTTTTCATGTCTATAAATCACTAGTCTCACTCTGTTCAATCAATTGCGAGTTTGGATATGATGTGTTGTATATTACCCCAAAGTTTACTAACGTGTATACAGCTGAATGCATCACTGCAGTGCACTTGGTGCCAAGACGTTTGCCTTTAGCAATGCAAAACTCCTATCATAATCTATTTTCACTAATCGAAAATATCAAAATTGAAAACAAAACTGTATTAATAGATTTAAATTATGCTTTCAACTCGATCAATTTGGCAGTCAGATCTATGATTTATTGTTTATGACCATTAATAAGATCCATCAAATCTCTCTCCAAGACAATACCTAGATCGTTATATAAAATTTTGTTACATTAGCCCATAGAATCTACACCAATAGAGTGGTTTCCCCGTACATCTACAAATGAATAACAAGATGCACAAAAGGAAAATCTTGATGACCATCTACTCATTTCTATTTACATATTATTGAACTATGTGTACTATTCCAAGATGGAATTTGTCCAGAAGTTCTTCCAGGCTTCAATTTCTTCTTTATTGTAAAGCTTTCGGATTCCTCCATAAAATCCATCACCTTCATTGCCTCCTTCTTGATGATCCTTCCTCTTAATCGCTGTTCTTCTCCATTGCGATCCAGGGATATACTGCTTGAACTCTAAGATCACCATATCTGAAAAACAATGATTAAGTGGACATTAGGTACGTTCTTTCTATGCAGTACTAAACATGACAGGCCATTATATTGATCAAAAATTTAATTTTGCTTTATTTTTTTGTGTCCAAGAATCATATATTATGGCCCCATTTGATACATATTAATGTAAAAATGAGAATAAAAAATATAGTCGTTACGGGTCACACACAAAAGATAGAAAGTCAAATATGATGACTTCATGTGATACATAACAGTCATATTTTTCATTTTAATGAACAAATAATGGAAACCAAAAGGGGGCTATAAACTCAGAAGCATGTTGGCCACAACAACAGCATACCATGATCCAAGACTTAAAAGGATTATGTACTATAAAGTATTAAGGAAAGTAAAAACATTTGTGGCATACATCATGAAGTATTAAAGAAGCACCATACTTTTTACTCAAAAATTTATTTTTATTTTTTTTGTTATTTATATTTATATTTTCCCCTTTTTAATGTTTGAATTTGCTAGTGTGAGTAATGTCCATACCACTCTTGGCACTATGGATGCTGCATTGACCTGTCAAGCATTAAGGAGGTGGAGCTGTGAACCACATGATCACATTTATAGGTTTCCTATGCCTCGTTCGATCATTAAACAATACAGCACTCAAAAGTATTTAGGAATTAAAATAAGTAGCTACAATCTCGTCTAAGTGTTGACTGTTCTTGAGCCTTATTCTTTATAACTCATTTTCCCTCAAACTCATTTTCAGCCACGCATTCATCCAATAAAATAATTTACACGTAAATCCAAATTTTTTTTCCTTTTTTTTTAACTGTACATTCTCTAAAAAAAGTCAAGATTTACAAAATCCTTTCTCGAAAAATGAGGCTCAACCGGGGGCTTAAGTATCCAATATGGTGACCAAAAAATAAAGGATTGCTAAGAGGAAAAGTTGATCTTCTTACCACTCATATGACACATACAATTAACTTCATGGCCATTGCATGATCCCAGATGTCCAACAACTCCATACCACCAACCTGTGATGTTTTTCAGAAGTAATCAATGTTTCATTAATGGTTACAGTTGGGATATCTCATTGTCAAGTGCTGTATAGATATTTCTCATGGAACTAAAAAGGATTTTTAGGTTGACAATTGACTTAAATTTGTGGTTCAAAAGTCCTTATTTCTCTTCCAAGGAAAATAAGTGTTATGATGTAAAGATATACCAAAGGGGAACTCTTTCTTTTTTCTCCACTGAATCTCAAAGTGATCATCTGGCTTAAGATCACCCAAACAATCAGAAATATGAAGAACATTTGCAGGAGTATCAACTGCTGGTGCCCTTAACCTATTCCATTCTATATTTTCCTCTATTGTCCGCCTCCCTTGCGCCGAATAACTACAAAATATATTGGAAGTTCATAAGATCGAGGCATTTCTTAATCATAATATCATCAAGAATTGCAGTGCAATTCAATGTTTAGAACACAAAGAAAACTGCAAAATCCGACCTTGCCACAAAGTTGTCCGCTTTGGAATCATAGCAAACTTCAGCATCATAACATGAAAGCATAAATCCAATATGCCCATTCTGCACCTTAAAAGATCAAAAACTATAAGGCACATGTTCGGTACACAGTACTCGATAAGTATTAAACATATAGAGTAAATTACCTCGCGATTATACACCTGAGCCGGGAACCAAATTTTTCCGGTTTCAAGAGCCATATAGCAAGACATAATCGAATTTTCGTGTTTAGAACTTCTCGACTTGCTATCTCCCTCCTCCATCTTTGATCTATTCGGAAAAAGATTATCCAAGAAACGCGAAAACCACTGAAATGGGCTTTTCTGCATTGCAGAATCACCAATTACTCTTGAATCAATCTTGCATTGCCATTCTGTATAGACAGCATCGTCTATTAGTCTCCCCCATTTTTGATTCATATGCTTCTTCCATAGATGATCACTTTTACATTTCTCTCTCAGAGTTTTACACACTCCAGCCATACTACACAGTCCGGCAGGCGAAAGCTTTTCAAGAATGCATTCCAAGTCCAAATCAGGCAAATCCAGTAGAGTGATTTCTTGTTTTTCATCCAAATTCTCCATTCTTGAACTCTTAATTCTTTTTATTGCTGTCAGGATTCTTGATTCTTGAAAAATACTAACAAAAACCCTTCTGTGTTTGTACCATGGCAGAAAAAATTTGTAGACTTTCCCATTCTCATTCTTCATTGGCATGAAAAAAGACTTGGAAAGAAGAAGAAAAGAGAGACAATATATCAAGAAATACAACATTTTTCCTCTCCAAATGGGGTAGTGAAGATCAAAAGAAGAATCCCGATTGTAAAGAAATTAAAATCTTTATTTTATATCAGAGTTGAGAATTCAAAATCTGTTAGAAAAGCAGAACCGACAAGTTTTTGTTGTTGGTTGCAACGCCCAGAACAAGAAACCAATGTCAACAATAAATGGTGTGGGATCAAGATATAGTGAATTCCCACCACTATAGAATGGGGCAATTAATTTTTGAAACGATGACAGATGCCACTTAATAAATGGTTGATTTGAAAATTTAGAACTTGTTTATTGTAGATTTTTTTGGTATTGATTTTGTGAAAAATATTTATTTCAGAATGTGTAGTTACAAAGTAGGAAAAGTTATAAATTTACAATCAAAATTATTTTATTGAAAAAATATATGATTGGAATGAGTTAAAAAAAAAAAAAAAAAAAAGGAATTTTAAAGAATTTCTTCTTAAACTTAGAAATAAAGTATACACAAGGAGCTTTATTTGAATTTTGGGTAAAAACCAAAATCTAATCAACAAAGAACACTTCGGTAATAACAATGTTATGTATTTAGGAAACATCAAATTCTAAGTAGGATCACTATCAACAATATCTTTCTATTTCTGTTGTAATTGTAATAATAGAAATGTTACTCCACAAAAATTAACCAATAGCAGCTTCGATGGTAAGAAACGTGACAAGGAGCTGTACTTGAATTTGAGTAATGCTATGTAGCTCACTGAGATTGTAACTCTAATCTAGTTGAGGTTAAATGATAGATTAAATGGAGAGTGCTGGGGTTGCAATCCAAGTGAGATTAAATAACATTATTCGTTGAATTTTGGATAAAAACAAAATTCCATAAAAACAGAAGACTTTGATAATAACAAAGTGATTTATTTCGTAAACATCACATTCCGAATTGGATCACTGTCAATCCCTTTCTCAATTATCACAATAAAAAAGGGAGCTTTCAAAATCATTTTTGCATCCTCATTTACATTTCGATGGATCAAAATTCAAAATTTGCTTCAAAAATAATCTTCTTTTTGTTCTTTTATTATTGTTTCGTGTCATTATTGAATGAAGGATAGGGGTGGATGTCACTGGTCACCAAGTAATGGTGCCATCTGATTCTTGCCTAACATCGTATTAAACTCAACAAATACCATGGTGACTGGTGGCAAGTGGGGGCCACAGCCACAATTTTAACCCAAGGTACTGTATTGAATAATTGAAAATAAATGTAGTTGAGGATCACCGTTTATATATAGTTTTGAAAATGTTTATAAACAATTTAAATTATAAATAAATAAAAATAATTGGTATATAGATAGAGAAACATGTTACATATATAGCATTCTTTATACTTTCTTTGACAGCCCTCTCACATTATACAAGTGGGTCTTGCGATTAAAATAATAGCGGACCCACTCGTGTGAGTGGGCTATCAAAAAAAGTGTACAGTGGATGTTGTACACTTAACATTTCTTTACACTTTTTTGATAGTTCTCTCACATTACACGGTGGGCACTCCTATGAGTGGACTATCAAAAAAAGTGTATAATTGCTGCTGTACCTGTACACTTAGCATTTCTGATAGATGGATAGTATTTATAAATCCCTCAAAACGTATGAGGAAATAATAAAACGAATGTTTTTGAAAAGTTATAAACATGAATCGAATATAGGCTGATAAATTGACAACGATAATTGTTAGGAAAATCAACATAATAGTATTAAATGGGGTAAAAAGAATTTTGGAAATTTTTTTTTATAGATCTCAAATTTTCAAGTTTCAAGTTTTTTATCCAATTGTTAGCTAAAAATTGCCTCGACAACTTTTATTTTTATTCTCTCATTCCGGATTGAGAAACTACAATCCGTTTGAAAGAATTAAAAATGGTAAAATATAAATCATATCTCTAAAATGATTTAAAAAAAAAAAAATTGTTTCTCGACTAAGAGACGAATTTGGTTACCTTAGTATCATTCTACCTAAAATCGACTGCCTAGTTTTGGACCAGTTGTCGACTTTGAGGATTAATTAATATCCTTTAATACTAATTAATAACCCTTCGAGACGCGTTGTTGAACTGGCCACCTACTTAGGCATAGAGCTGAATAATCAGTGTATATAGTTCCTATTAGACTTTTATTTACCTAAAATTATTTTTTCTCAAAATTTATTTTTATTCACATTTTTTCAATAAAATAAATTTTCTTACCTTTTAACTATGCATTCTTTCAAATATGTACTAAATATTACGATTTCTGACTAAAATATTAATAAATTGGAAAAGCCTTTAAACCTAATTTTAAAATAATAAATTCTCACTTTAATGACGTTACTTTCAAAATAATTATATTTTAGTGATTGATGTTGAAATGTATGATTAAAATTTTTTTTTGATTTGCGTGTAATATTATTTTAATAAAGAATGTGATTAAAAATGAGTGCTGTAGAAAAAATAATATGAAAGAATGAAAGATAAACAACGGTTTAATTTGGACCGCTACCTCTTCTTGACCCACTCTCTCTGTCAAAATAAAATTAATACAATGAGTGACGTGTGGAAATTTAGCCTAATATATAGGTAACCTAACCTTAAGGATGAAATCTTTAGTACTCTTTGTGTATATATATATATATATATATCCTTTTTTTGTGTGGCGTGAGAGAGAGGATTTTGACTTTCAAATGGTTACAAAATAAGTGGAAACAGGGTAAGAAATATGAAACATGGACCAACCAAAAAGCACAAATAGATTGTCTAATTTCCATATATATATAAATCTCCTTTTCTTGTTCAGTTCCATTAACCAAGACTGGGTTTTCACATTTTAATAAGGTTTATATATCAATAAAGATCATAGATCACACCCTAAGCATATATTGTGTACAAAAATCGACTTTGAGACGGATAAAATAGTGATGTAATCACACCACACGTGTGATTGTATTTGAAGCAAATCAAATTTGTGCAAACGAAACTTACTCTTCTACAATTAGTGTTACACGTACACCTTTCTGTAAATCTCGAATCAATATATCTTATTAAGAGAATTGTACATGTGCACTAATTTGGGGTGGGGGTTGGGGGGGGGTGTTTAGAAACAGAAAATCCAACTGAAAATTTCTAAGCCTGGGAACCAAGCTCCAGCATCAGAGTGTGATTGATGTCATTTGATGTTGGGCCAATAAACTGAACAGGACCTGTTAAAACTTTGACACAAATTAGAGCAAGCAAATCCATCTAAACTTTCGTAACATGTATTGATATGAATAAGAGCATTTACACGAGATTCTTTAAATACAAAATGTTTTTTATTTGAAAGAATCAATGCTTAAAAATAAACTTCCAACAGACTATTTTAAGTTTTTAAAATAGAGAGTGAATTTGGCCAAAGTCAAACTCACTCTCTATCTTTAATGTACAAAAAGTACATTTAATAGTTCACAGATTTCGATACTCTACTTTTTAAACTATTCAAACCACATTAAATTATTGGTCATCCACATATAAAAATTATGTTAAATAAAATATGAAGAGAATTCAATAAATGTATTTTGGAAAAAACAAAATGAAGAGTCAAAATAGAGAGTATTGTTAGAGTGCATATAAATTTTTACTCTTTAAATTTAACGATGCTCTTTATAAACATAAGATGCTCAATATAAATAAAGAGTCTCCTAGAGATGCTATAAGAGGTTTTCCGAATTGTCAATATTTTCGAGAGAAAAGGTATTATTTCAGCTTTGATAACCTACAATTTCTCAAGAGTCGCAAATTGCTTGAATAGGAGTAGTCACATAAATAGAAGCTCCTCCCTCCTCTTGCTTTCCTCAATGAAATCCCGTAGTAATAAAATCCTTAAGGAGTTTTTTAGTTCTTATCGTAAGGGTGATTCCATAGGGCCATTTGCCAGAAAGAATTAAGATTTCCCATAAGATCACTCGGAGAATGAGTCTCTCTCTCATAAAAATGCACAGAAGTAAGAGGAAATAGGACTTCTCTTTGTTGGAGAGAGTCACAACATATTACAAGAGATAAACTACCAAGATTTGTATGCAGCATTCCCTACTCATGTATAAGATGATAAAATGATACCAAGTGTGAATGATTTCGGAAGTAATTTCATTTGGAGGCTAATTTAGGATATACAAAGAAATTTTACCTAAGGAGCATTGCAAAATCGGATTCAAAAGCAGGAATAAACCGTTATTAGATTTACCTGGACTGATATATCGATTCTTCAAGGCCCAGTCATCTCTCATGGATGCAAACTTTTTGAAATGAGCAGCTGGGATTTAGAGAAGTGTGTGTAAAACATTGGAGCTCAAAAACCAGACATAAGATAAAAATGAACATATAATGTTTACTAGCAGTGGAGCAAATACAATATAGTTTACCTTGAAGATCCACCATTGCCTTCTTGATGACAGGTTTAAATTTCCCTGCACAAAGATTAATGTTTACAATTATAAAACAGAGAAGAATTGAGTGCATAAAGAAAGGAGAGTCGGTCTAGCAATGAAATCTAAAAATAATATAGAAAGAAAATATAAAGGAAAAATACCATGTCTCCTCTCCACTTCCATCAAAGAAGTCAATGCTGTTCCACCTACAGTCCACTTTTCTACTGGAGCATCCAAATTTCCAACCTAAATCATATACCATTGCATAAATTACTCAGGCATAACGAATATATGATCATCGGTAATGAAAACTAAAGAATTGCACATGACAGAATTATGTGAAATGTAAATTGAGTAGAACACGTATTAGAGAATTATATCAAGGAAAAAAAACACTAACTGAGGAAATCAGGCCTGTCTTCCCATTCTGAAGGAGTGCTCCTGCAGCATAACCCAATGCATAGCAGTAGTTGGAGTCAAAGTTTGAAGGCAACCCGCATCTACCTTCATAACTGTGAAAGAAACAAAAAATGAAACCAAGAATTAATTAGGAATTAATATACCTCCTATTTTTCCTTTTATTTCTTTCATTTTTTGAATACTGTGGGAGGTGGGAATTCGATGTTCTAATTATGAACCTTAAAACAGGCCAAAAATTAATAATTACCCAAAAAAGTGAGACTGTCCCTTGAATTCTTTATTATATAAACCTTGCTTCCTTCTGGACTCCAACTCAGTTTCCACCATTTG